TAATTAGCGACCAGTGATATTTCTAGGTTTTGATCAAACACTATCTGCGTTTATTTTTTCACGTTGTTTGAGCTCATCATTGAACTCTTTGCATTATTGCTTAGTATATATTATGCTAAAATCACATTAGCACACTTACAGCAACACTTAGTTCTCTTAGGCGACAGTTTAGAACAGCGCGTAGTTTTTCGCTGCGCGCGGTGGAACAGAACATAGTTGAAAAGAATGTTAATTGCATTGAATTGAATTCAGTGCATACTGTCCGCTTTGCGCACTCATGCAAACACTGTATGTGATCATTTACGTGATAAAGGACTTCTATTTCGTAGAATTGTTATAAATTAGTGCAATGATTCCATCTTCTCGAGACTTCATTTGTTCGGTGTTTTAATAAGAAATGAAGTAGCATTTAGGGTCTGTCGTAATTTTTGAAATTGGGGGTGATGTCGATCCTTTCGTTTGCTATCTTTCCAGTCCAGTTTTACTTCTTCAGTCTCCTCGATTCTGCTGATAAAAAAATTGAAGGTTGTCGTTGCATGAACTCTGATTTCCGTTTTGTTAGGTCATGGCGCATAGTGATGTAGTAGTGTACGAAATTGTCAATATCTTGTTAAATACTTGATACTTGAATGGCCGGTTCTCACTAGTTGTCTGAGCCCCAGCATAATCTACTTTTTTCGGAGATTTGCTGGTTAATGCTTTGTGGTTCTCTGGAATCACGAGGCCCGCCTGGCCAAAGTTTACCCTAGGTTTTCACCACCACAGGCAGTCGCAGCCCTCATGGATAGAGGAAGATTTGCCGCAATGCGACTGATACCAGGACAGTGGTGGATCCTGGTGTTGGCTTACTTCTAGCAAGGCTTCCTGATGGAAACGCCGGAGTCCATCTCAGCTTGGGAGACCCTGTCAAGAGATAAATCCCTCACTGTACGTCGCAGTTCGACACCCAGGAACACCTCCCATCAACGATTAAGCGGCAAACCGTTGGGAGGATCTTGCCAAATACTGTTGAGTTTACGCGAAGTTGTTACAAAAACTTTTATTATGACGAAGTTTCACTGGGTATGACTCGATGCGACTATGGAGACTCATATCGCAGAAGCGAACGACAATCGGTTAGAACTATTACGGCTCTGAAGAACGCGAAAGAGCAGAAACGTTGGTTGGTTAATAAAGGTTTATGTAGCAATCTCGTTAAGCCTCGAATACAAGAGGTCATTGATCATTCATTCCGAGGTTAAAGGAAGGTCGGTTTTTGAAAATACTCAGGATTATCTTTTGGTTTTCTACAGTACTAATATTACCATTCATTGGAGTTAGAATCATTTAGGATATTCTATTTCCTTCGAATTCCCATCAAAATCCTGCTAGATTTCTTGATTTTTTTTTCGTTTTTTTTTTCACATTTCCCAAACTTTTGTCTTTTTCTATATGTTCATGTTCAGCTTTAGAGAAAAACTTATCTTCACTTCTTTTTCTTCTGTGCTTTTCAATCATTTACAAACTACGCGCCATCTGTGTGCGCAGAAATCATGCGTTGCTTCATTATCAATCAGGAAAGGAAACGTCAACGACTTTTTTAAATAATTCACTGGTGGACGTTCAAAGCTGAGTTCTGCTTATAAGTGTGGTCTCTCGGCATTATTTTTATTCGGCTTTGAAATTTCAGTACTTATATTTATTTGCTTCAGTTTTTTCTAAATTGCTCAATCGTCGATGCGTATCTGTTTACTTAGCGCACTATCTTATTCTTTTCGCTTACGAGTGTTGCGTTACACATGTGTATGCGTCTGTATATATATATATATATATATATATACGTGTATGTATATGTATATATATGCATGTTTGCATGTTTGCATGTATGTAGGTATGTGTGTATGTATGTATGTATGTATGTATGTATGTATGGTGGTGTGTATGACCGTTTATATGAACTTATTATTTGCTGCGTACTCTTTTTAATGGCAGGTTATATTGCGAAATATAAAAATTGGTGGTGAACGCGTTACTCCACGGAAAAGAATATCGCGTTCATTCCTCTCCGCAGACACCTGCGGTCCGGAGTTTTGCAAATATCTCAGCATCATTGAACGTCTATATGAACGTTTTCCTAATTTTCCTTTCTTGCTCAGTGTAAATTAAAAACATAAAACTCTCCGCGTTGATCAAGCCCTGAGGGATGCACCATGTATTCGACTACGTCAAACATGGTGAGAGGTAAACGAATGCTTTTCCTGCCTATAAATTTATACAATGATCTGCGATGGCCACCGATCTATTGAGTTCTCCAGACAGGTCCGATACCAATTTGCCGAACTCAGAATAATGGGAAGGTTTGGTAAGCCCAGCGCGTGAAATCGAACAAATCACCAAGTGTTGAGTAGTGGAGTCACCTTTAAACACTGCGTTACACTCGCCTGCAATTAATCTGATTTGCATTTTTTTGAATGGAGAGTTTTCTTTGTGAGCAGAAATGAGGTTGTCGGCAACAAGATTTCTCCAATACTAGCTGACGTTTCGGCATTTTCTCCTTCTTCGGAACCTGAAAAGACCAAATGGGCACGCAGTCTGCCCGTCAGGCTTTTATAACCTTGGCAGAAAACGTCCAATACCTGCTACTGGCGTGAGAAATAGCTTTTTTCAAACAGTCACAAGCAGTTTAAATAAGACCTCGTTTCCGCCAGGAACGACAGTGAGAGAGTTTGGTTTCTTCTCGAAACCTATGCCGGGGAGCTACGGCACAAAGAAATACCGGAGGTTTCGAAACGGAAGTCGCCGTCGTCGCCCAGGAATCTAAAACGTTTACGCGGCAAATTCTTGAAACGGTTTGGATAAAATTCCAGAAATCTAAAAATGAATTGCAAAGTGGAGTGCATTGTAATGTCGCGTGACTTCTCGCCATTATTCAAACTTATTTTTTAGCCTGCGCCAGGCAGATTTTTTACTCTGTTTTGATGTAAGACTGTACGTCTAGTTTCCGTCAGATAACTAGAAGACTTACAAAAGGCAAAACTGTTGTTAGGTACTGAACCTTTTCTATAAAGGTTATGAAGTTGTTCGAATGAGTAGATTGCGTGTGAGTTTCACCTTTCCAGGTTCTGAAGAAGGCGAAACCTTCGAAACGTGAGGCAGTGTTGAATAGATCTTATTTACAACACCGTGTGTTCTCAAGAAGAAAGACGCTGGCTTTGTTGACCGTTTTCCCCTCTCCACTAATTGTCTCAATAGTACTAGTGCATCATCTTATTTGAAAGTAGGCTCTGGAATTCCATTAATACTTTATTAGTTAATACTATTTTTCCAGCCATTCCTCCTATATTTAATTTTTTTTGATGTCATACGTCGATTTTTCATCAAGACCTACTTTTTTTTCCTGTCAAAATTTCTTTGCGTTACTTTGTTAAGTCGTTTAGTATTTCAAGGGTGTCATTGCTGTTTGTGTCCTTCCATTAGGTGCAGAAGTGGTAATTTCGTAAAACAACTCATAGACAGTTTTGTCCCAAATAGCGTTGAGGGCCGAGCTATTAACGTTTTAGATCTTTACTAGCCGCTGTTTTCCATTATAATTAATTGGTAGATCTCCACTAAAAAACGTTTTGGCCCACTATAGTTCTCATTTCATTTGTGTTCTTATGGTAAACTTTTTTCTTCTCAGCCTACCGTAAAGTACCGAAATAGTCTAAAATTTCATCACAGGTGGTTCTCGACTTAACGGATCAGACGGAAATTCCGATTACCTACTTATTTCGATACCTGGACGGCTCGTCCTCACTGGTTATGCGGACCTTAGCACAATCTTCATTTTTCGGAGTTTTGGTGGTTTAGCCATTGTGGTTCTATGGAGTCCCATGGTCAGCCTGGTCAGTCCCGTCACCACCACAGGCAGTCGTCGCCATTGTGGATCAGAGGGAGATTTGCCACCATGCGACTAGTTTGATACCAGGACGTTGGTCGATTCTGGTATTGGTTTACTCTTAGCTAGGCTTCCTGATGGAGACGCCAGACTCTTTCTCAGCTTGAGAGAACTTATCGGGGTGATGAATCTCCGCGCTGTACATCACAGCTCGACATCCAGAAACACCCAGCCACTATGTGGCAGTAAATGGTTGCGAGGACGGGAATCTGACACCGAAGTTAATTCCAGAACTGTAGATATTCCCTTCGCACGTTTGTTTTTGCTTGGGTTTCCGATTATGAAAGTCATGCTTCTCAGGTTGTGTGGCGCTGCTGATATGGTGGACCTTTATACCGTTCTTACTACGCAATTCGTAGGAAAGTTCCCTTGCCACAGTGACGCGGAAAACACTGATTGGTTTGGGTGTAACTTATTTTTATAATTTTCTTATTGCTGAACTCCCTGTTTTATTCGAGCAGCGGTATATAGCAATGTTGTATTTCCAGTCTACTTAACAAGAAATTGCGTATTTCTTCCCGTTATGACTATCTTCTTCGTGTTGTCAGTTTTTGATCAACATGTCTCCTAAACAAATTTACTACTTTTCAGATCTGGAGTTGTTAGACGCTGGGCCTGAGGCGCAGACGGCGGAAGCAGCGGGAGTCGTGGGCAGTTGGTCCCCTGTGTCTCTTCGCCTCTTCATGACATCTGCTGCTGATGAAGTGAGCAATTCATCATGGAGTGTGTGGTCAGTAGCAACGTTATTTCCTTTTCAACTGTGGCCGCTGCTGCCGGAATGGAGAACACTGCTCGCCATCGCTGGCGTAGTGTTCGTCTCATGTCTATATCTGCTTCATTTGATTGGATATAGTTACAGGTTGGTTATGAGTTTCGTTTGATAGTTATGCTATTTATAACAATAAGTGAAAGGCATGTGCCGGAGTGGTCAGAGGTTCCCTACAATTGGTTTGATCACACACCTGGACTAATCAAACTTTTTATCAATTAGAGTCCGAAAATTGGTCTCGTACTTATCTAGGAGGATAGAGAACATCGACTTTATGCATCATGAGGTCCCTTGAAACCATTGTTTAGGCCAAATATGCATTCATTCACATCTACGTTGGTTAACGAAGTCGAAAGAATGGAGTATCCTTAAGAGATTGATCAACGTCAAACACTTTATTCTTTATTTATTCAATGAAATAATTTATTTGTCGCTTATCTGACTATTCTACCATCCAGTTTAAAGACGTTGAAGTGAGGATTAACGGCATACTCTTTGAGCGGTTCTCAGAGAGCACTGTAATTGCACGTTTAGAAATTAAGTAGTTGACTTCTGTTTCCGGAATTTTTCTATCGTTCCGTTAACAGCGATTGTAGACTCTTTAAAGCAAATCCGGTAAAAGCATAACGTAAACATACTTTGGGAAAAATGAAATACGCGTAGCAAAGCAATGCCAGTAACATTGTTTAAAGAGCATTTCTTTGCTTTTACTTGCGGTTGGATTTTTTTCAAAGATCTTCCTGAGCAAAATAGGCTGACAGTGCTGTCCTGTGAATATCTCCGTAGTTGTAGTTGGGAGCTACTTGACTTCTACATGTCCGCAATTGAACTGTTAAACTCCGATTTATTTAAACACCAACACAAAAGCGTTGTCAGTGTGTTGGACAATTCCCTTTTCCTCCTGATGTGTTACACTACATTGTATAAAAGTAAAAGGAAAAACTTTCGGCTTCGATCAATCGCTGAGGGATGCGCCATGCATTCGACTTCATTAAGCATAGTTCGAGGTGACTGAGTTCATATCTATGCTTTACAATAACTCGTGGTGGCCTACCGATATGTCGACCAATTGCTGCTATCCTCTCAGATAAGTTTGCTACCAATATGCGGACCGCGGAGGGATCGAGAGCTTGGTGGGCTTAGGCGCTGGGATCGATGCCATGTGTATTGCAGGGCTGCTCCGACCACTGCGTTACACGTGCCACTTACATTCTATATCTTTTGTGAAACAGGTAACTCTATAGTTCATCAGATCAACACGGAGAACCTTATTCTTCTTCAGTGTTTTTCATATGTTTCAGTAAATATCGGTTGCATCGATTGGTTGAATACAATCCGAATTCTCTTGGTGTCTCAATTCTTAAGCCATTATTAGGTGTAGACAAGCATCTGAAACTTAATTTACAGTCATTTTTTACTATGAAGTTTCCTAAGGTATGACTTTTTAAATTTTTTGTTTCTTTTTCATCTTTCTGTATTTATTTGTGTTTCTTCATGTAATATTCTGTGCTTAGAGATGTAGATGACCACCGGTTTACTTCGCTACGTTCGTAGTAATGTCAGAAGATTAATTTTAGTTCGAATTATTATTTTGTGTAAAGGAGAGACATGACCCGGCTGTGAGTATCGTTAAGCAGCTCATGGATAAATATCCAGCAATTGAAGCGAGAATATTTTATGGTAAACTGTTGACATTAATCTTTTGAATTCGATGCATCCCTAGTTAATATCGTTTTCATTTATAGGTGGTGAAGATGTTGGTTTGAATCCGAAAATCAACAATTTGATGCCAGCGTATCGGAATGCTAAGTATCCGCTAGTTATGATAAGCGATGCATGTAAGACGATATTTTTTTATTTATTTCGCCATAATTAACAGCTTCTAGTCGGATAGTTGATTGCGTTCAACACATCATTAGGAATGTAGCGTCATTGTCTATGTTTCACCTTAATGAAGAGGGAACTATTACAGAATAAACAAACGCTGTTGCCTACCTAATGATAGGGAGGCTTGTAACGATGAGATTATGTCATCGCTGAACACAAGTCTTTTCGTAAATTGCTTTATTAAATAGTAGTTTTATAACTAATGCCACCTACTATCCTACTATGTTTATCTTTTTATTTACAGCCTATTTTCTTTTCATGGCAGGGAGGGTGTTATCTAAAGTACGACCACAATGGTGCTGAGATATTTACAAAACTCGGAGCCCTAGGCCAGTTCTGAGCTCGCGCTTACCCTTTCCGGGGACTCACGGACCTTATTATATTATCTGTTATCCTATTGTATTTATGCAAAGCGTTTGGTGTCAGCTATTCTTGTTTTCATAACATAGATCGATCATGCGGTCTAGAGTCTTGATGTTCAAAGGTTTATTTTTTCTAGGAGAAGAAAATTTGTGTCCATACCTTTTGTTTATATAGATGAGGCGTATTTACAGCCATTACTATGCGCGCTGACTCACTAATGGACATGGTGAACGCAATGGAAGACAATGTGGCATTGGTGACGCAGGTGCCATATTGCAAGGACCGTGAAGGATTTGCAGGAGCACTAGAACAGGTGTAGTCTTTCATTCTTAAGAGTTGCTTTTTTCATCTCTGTTTTCATCTCTATTGTTTTTCATATGTTTTCGTGATGTGGTACATTGTTTGTTTAATATTAGTCCGCCTTGAGAAGGCAACGTCATAGCTGTTTTATTCTCAAGATTTACTTTGGTACAAGTCATGGTCGAATATATCTTGCTGGTAATTGTATGCAATTTGTCTGCTCGACGGGAATGTCGTCGCTAATGAGAAAGTTTGTGCTGGACGATTGCGGAGGATTGGCTGTGAGTTGGAAAATACTTTGAACTATTGTGTCTTTTACTAAAAAGGTAAATGATAGTTCCCTTTGCAATTGCACTGTAAAGAGCATTTTTTCAACACTTTTTTTCCTCCATTCTTTCACTCTGCATCATTCGAGATGCATGCTGTTGTGGAAGTTTTCGCCAAGATCTCCGTCGCATGTTTTGTACCTCAAAGTACACTTCACTGCTGTGCGATAATCATGTCTCTTCAGGAAGTTTGAAGTTACATTATGGACCTTCTTTTTAAAAAGAAAATAACGGATGGCGCGCGTTTCGCTCAATACGTTTCCTTCGGGTTATCTATTTAGCTGTGCAAATTTTTTTATAGCAAACGTAATGCCGGACGATGTACATGTGTTGTATCATAGGGGGATTGTGGTTGAATTGCAGCTACGCTATACCTCAGACATGAATAATTAAGTCTTTATGTATGCAGTGCTAATACAATATTAATAACATAGCGGGATTAAAGTTATAGAAGCTCTTAAGGTTAAAGAATGGCGCTAATGCATCAGTGAATAGAACGGTTGGAACACAACATATGACCGCGGTTTATACTATTTATGTGAATTATCAACGGTGATAATAATATTCCCCGTGGAATAAGAAAAGTTTACACTATGAAGCTTCATTGTTTTCAAGTTAATGGAATCGGATATGGTGAAATGGAATGCAGTGTTGCATACGAAGCTGAAAACAGACCACATGTTAGTCGGAGATTGTACAGTCGATAAGATGTGAAGTTTATGCAAAAAGTGTATAAACGCTGTTTGAAAATCTTGATTTGATCTGATCTTTTCACTTTACTTTCACAATGAGACTGCAAAAACGGTTTTGTGATATGTGAGAGCGAACGAAAGCTGAGTAATAGCATAGAAGGAGAGTAAGATTTAACAGAGAATTTCTCTACTGTTTACGTAGTATTCTCTATGGTCTCTTTGCTATACCTTTCATATTCATTCGATAGCTTATCTATCGTAAATGTTGTACTAGGTGTAGACCGAGAATAACTATTCTCCATACTTAGTAATTTCCAAGTAATATTATTTGGGAGAGTTTATTCGTCAAGCCTACAGAGCTTTGTACCCTGACACTAGACACATAGACATCGCGTCAGGATACAATGGTGACTTATGGTACGGGTGGATATCGTAAATACCCCAGTAAACTAACATCAGTTTCAAAACAAAGTCCAAATACGGAGAGCGGTATGATTGGATAGTCCGCAATACAAGCTTATAGTAAATAAGTAAACTGTATACTTCTGCATCAATTGCAAATCCTCTTCTATAGGTTTTCCACATCCTGTTTCTCTGCTTATCAAAAAACAATCGCCCACTGTGTGATGGTGAGTATGTTTAAATGTGGATGGGGCCAGTTAATTCACTTCTGTGGGAGCATCATAATTATGAACATGGTATTATTATGACGAGTGCAATAATTTTTAGATACGTTAATAATTGATGTGTCCTATTGTCATTGGCACATTTCAGGCATTTGGCGACGTCCTAGCTGAAGACTATTTCATAGGATTAGAGTTCAGTCGGCGGTATGTTTGCTTCTTTGGTGTTAGAATCGATTAAAAAACTATAAATTAATTTTTTTAAATACACTTTTGAGTCCGTTAGTTATCGCTTTATGCCTATAGGATTTCAGTTGTTTTCAACATTCAGTGACTCATGCTTAGATTAGATTGTTTCTAATTAAGTGGTTGGTTGTCAGCGATATCTACTCATCCAGCTCTACAGAATGGTGCAGAGCCATCGGTGGTGAAGTTTCATGCGAGAATCAGCCGATGGATGCAACTACGCATTGCAATGCTGCCGCATATGATGCTTGTCGAACCTCTACAGGTCCACTCTATGTACCGCTAAGTTCTCACTCTTATTATTTTTTTGGTTGTCTATGTTTGTCTTGGCTGTTTTTCTTCACCTCGAGTGTGTTTGTTCATTGGTCCAGGATTGCTTCATATCTGGTCTGATCGGTTGTTTCTCTGCTAATCACCTATTTGGGGTTAGCGCTACTATTTACTATGTGTTGCACTGTACTGCGTGGTTGTTGTGCGACTACGCGTTGAATCGGTCTATACAGGTGAGATTTACTGGTTGCATTCTCTGTGATTTTTGAAACCTACTTTTTAAGCTGATTTTATCTCGCTAATACCGCTTTGATCAATACTGTATTTCAAGAATGGCCAACTACCATATCGCCTCTCGAGATTCATTCTGGCTTGGGCTCTTCGCGAGATTTTGGCGCCCATTATCTACATAAGAGCGATTATGACGCCCTGTATACAATGGCGAAATGGCCGCTTTCGGTTACATTGGGGTGGCAAGATTAAGTCGTCCTAGATCTCTGGACAAGTTTCTTATATCATGGAATTCCCAGCATAAAATTGCTTGTCTGGGTGATTGTTTCGTGCAATATGTTGACTACGAGAGTTCCTGTACCTCCCGTTATACCTCTTCCTGGATAACAGATCTGTGATCTCAAAGCTGTTTGCTATACGTGTAGAATGGCAACCGGTGTTAGTGTCACCGCGTGTTATCAAGTGGAATTTGAGACATAGCCAGTTCACTTCACTTCTTCGTTCAAAAGAATTTGTAAGTAAAACGGGACCAACCGTACCGTCAACACACAAGCAGTCGACTAGATTGTAGTTACCGTATAAGTAGCCACCGTTCTTTGATGACTGCTACCACAACGTACCTGTTCAGTGCTCAATTTTGCACCTGTCATGTGTATGGTTGTTACGGTTTTTCACGAAAGTGTAACAGCCTATGTGTTTCTTAAAAAGTCTTCTGGTTCCTAACAAGTATCAACAACCCTTATTACTGCTATTATATATGTCGGTATGTCACTGATTGTTGCTAAATTTTAAAATGTCAGTCACATGTCAATGCTCCAAGAGGTAGTCGTTTACTACATAGCCAATGGCTCATTGACCACTACGATTCTTGCGGTGGTGTTCTTTTAATTACGAAGGTTATTTTCCAGTCAGTGAGTTCGACAGCTGAAGAAATTCCCATCATATCACCATGAATACGGTGTTTACTCTCACTTTTGGCCCATATCTTTATAAGCCCATCGCTATTTAACTATGTCTACGTAACTCTTTCGTCTTCCGTCTTCCTTTCCAGCGCTAAAAGTTTGTCCTGCTTGCGAATTTGTACATTAAATAATACACCGTTTCGAGCTTGTATGTGTTAATGCAATGCGAGTACAAATCTGCCTTCACAGAGTAACTTGGAAATGTTGTCAACATATCGAGATAAAACTGTGATCATGAGCTTCTTAGAAAATCAAACGTGTTTTGTATCATTTCCATTACCATTGTGTTTTATCTACAATGTATTTTGATATTGTAATTGTGTTTCTTCTCTTAGTACTCATATATTTTGTTACTGTTGTTTCATCGATACTAACTAGTCAGTCAGATGATGCTGATTATGGAAATGTTCGAGAGTTCAGGGAAGAGCCAACCCGATTTGAATACTAACTAAGCTTTCGCAATCATCTTCCTTTAGATATAAGGGTGATAATGAGAAACTCCAGGGATTTAGGTCTGAGTTGCTCTTGAACTACCGTAACCACAATACGAAACCAATGCCAAATGTATGTCGTTTGTTGAACGATTGTGTTACTAACAACGTCAAACGTGATTTCAGTGAATTCATCGACTTCAGAGAAGTCACTAGTTCCTTGATTTCAGTGTGAGTTGCTGTTACATTGTGGTATGACCGTGATGGATGTTTTCTCTTCCGTTTCTCTCACTCTCTCCTTTATTTGATATATTGCGATCATCCTTAGAAAATCTAGCGGGTAATTGTGTTGTTGTATCACTGTTTGATTTATATTTGTGAAAGATTTTATACAACTTGTGTAATAAACGGTGGAGTACATAAGTGATTAATCTGGTGTCTATGATTTGGTTCTGCCGGAAGTATTGCTTGATGAAACGACGAAGTCAATACCGTGTGCGCTATAAGTATTATAAAGTAAAGGAAGCACAGAAACCAACCTGCGATTAACCATACGCACCTCTGCGTATTGTGTCCAATGCATTGTTCTTTTCGACTTTTTCTTTTGTAGCACAGAGATTTTTTTGCTATACCTTTCGTGCTCAGTTGATAACTTCTTCATCGCAAACTGAAGCGAGACCAAAGTGGCTATTTTCAAAACATAATACTTTGCAAAGAAACCGTTTTCCGGACGACATTGTTCGTCTGGTTCGAATTCCATGGTGGGTGTTGGCATCTCTATTGTAACAGGTTCCTGGAGTTCGAAACTTAGCGACACTTTACCGATATATGAGGTGGTAAATAAATAAGAGGGCGCGTGTGGCGCAGTGGTCGGAAGCGCCCTGCAACACACATGGGATCGGTCCCCTCGCCTCTGGCCCACCAAGCTTTTCGTCCCTCAGTGGTCTGCAAATTCGTACCAGACTTCTCTGGGAGGATAGCAACACTGGCTCGATACATCGATGGGCCACCGCGAGCCATTGTAAAGGCCAGATATATATTCAATCACCACCATACGTTGCTTGATGAAGTCGAATGCATGCGCATCCCCAGAGATTGATCAACGCAGAGAGCTTTAGCCTTTATCCTTTTATGATTAATGAAATTGAAGCGTAGAGGTATCTCAAAGAATGATGTTAGAAAAGCTAGGTGTTCACAAGAGCGTACATTACGTCAGTTCGTCCTATATAGTTTTTTATCGTGAAGGTTACATATTCTCAACACCTACCGTCACAGACCTGTTCTGATGGTGTAAGCAAAAAAGCTGCGCGCAAGAACGACCTCATAAAGTGCACTAATTGTATAGAATTTACACTCTTCGCAAAAACATGAGCTTTCTAAGTAGCGACAAGACAAGTTGGGAAGGTTTCTTGCACCGACTGAGTCTTGTACTAACCGGTTTTTAATGCTTTTTGGGCAAACTCGAGTTTCCACGGTTCGTCGACTTCCCATAACAACATAGCTGTTCTTTGACGGTGGTCTTTTCTAGAAATTTCGGATGAGAGTAATACTGCTTTCATTTCTGATAAGTTGCGTGCACGTCTACAGCTCAATAATGAGAGCTGAGTCATCCGCCAACAAGAAAAGCTTCGAAGAAAAACCGCAGGAAGAATACCAACTGCTGAAAGATGTATGAAATCGCAAAAACCCTGATCTCACTCAGTTTCCCTCAACCAACTTCGTTTTATAGGAACCGAATGCAACTGATACGAAAATACCTGGACAACTGGATGATGTAGAGGAAGAAATAAAGGAGAAACTTGCTACCTTCTCACCAGAAGAATATCCTGGTATGGTGAACCAGATCCAGGCAAGCCATAATGTATTGCATCGAAGTCAGTCAAGCAAAGAAGCTTAGTTATTCTAGAAATACAAAGAAGGGAAAGGCAGTGAATTAAATGGTGGTACGACCGAGGAAATCACCGAGAACGGCAAAGACTACACGCCTTTCTTTGAAGGAGATATCATTCTCACGAAGTCTCTTCGTTCATCGGACTCTGAATGTTGTGTTACCTTGTTTTTTCCTTATTTGATGTTCTTACTTTTAGAGATGAAGATGAGATTATGTATGATGAGGAACACGGTGAAACTGAGCGCGTCAAACGTCAAGTTCACCGCAATGTTACAAGGTTGTGGCCAAATGGACTAGTTTATTATTCTTTTGGCGCGAACGCAAGTTCGTCTTAAATCCTTTACAGTTCACATGTCCGGCAGGTTTAATGCGACGACTTTTTTCAGCCGAAAGAACGAAACGAGTATTCAAGAAATCAGCCAGTGCATGGAGTGAAGACACATGCATTAAGTTCGAAGAAAACAGAACAGGTTTCATGAAGACACAGAACGAAGAAGGCTAGAAGTTCTAGAGTTAAAGATCAAGTTTTAAGCTCCGGATATGGTCATTGTTTACGATTGGCTTGAATGTGCTACACACATCGGAAGGATTGGAGGCGCACAAAGTCTCTACCTTGGCCAGCTGTGCGATACGGTATGAGCAACACCGCGTGCAATGTCTCCCGAACTTTGTGTTCATTTCGTGGTTTCACTTTTGCAGACGAGAATTTAGACTGATTAGAAAACGGCACTACACTATCTTCGCACAGATTGGCCGTACTGCTCATGAGATCGGGCACACCTTAGGTTTCTTCCACACCCAGTCGAGACCCGATCGAGATAACTACATTAAAATTATATCGAAAAATATCAGGGTGAGTGTAGAACGAGCAAAAATTTATTGATCGTCAACTGATGTTAAGTTCTTCTAGACATACTTGCTCTCGGAATTTAAGAAGCTTAGTAAAAACGTTATTAACACCTACAACCTCACCTACGATTACGGTAGTATCATGCAGTACTCAGCAAAGAGGTTCGGATCACCAGTCAAAAGTCTCATTTAAAATTACAACACCAAATCTCATTTAAAATCACAACAGACAGCGATAAATAGTACTTTTGATTTTAGCTCTTCTAACAACAATGAGCCCGTCATAATACCACAGCCTGATGGTAGGTATTTACAAACTCTTGGATCGCCGATGATTTCATTTTACGATAAACTGGCAATCAACCTTCACTATAAATGCTTTGGTGAGAAAGTGTACCGTTCACGTAGAGTTTTCATGTGTCTCCACACTCATGTCAACACTGGATCATTTTAGACAAATGTAGTGACAAACACTGGAAGAAGTGTCAAAATGGTGGCTTCCCCCATCCACGTGAATGCTGGAGATGTGTCTGCCCTAGTGGATATGGCGGAAGATATTGCAATGAAAGGGTTAGAAGCGAACTCCACTGTTTAAAAAGTTTTTTTTCCACGCTTATTTCAGACATAACAAATCATCATTCCAGCCAGGTGGTTGTGGCAAGACACTGTACGCAAAGACCTGGTTCAATAGACTCGTTGACACCGTTGGTAGAGAGGATTACCATCCCGATAAGCCTCACGACGAATTTATCATGTGCAATTACTGGATTAAGGTTTATCAGTTACTGCGCGGTGTGATCTAAAGATAGTTTTCCAAGAGTTCATTAATTAAGGCACAGGCTGGCTCAACGATTGAGATGAGATTTGATAACTATAGCAGAGATGGGTATTCTGATGGGTGCGTAAATTCGGGAGTTGAAATCAAGACAGGAAACGACACACGTCTGACTGGTTATAGGTGAATATTCAAATCAGTAAGGTGTGATAGCAACTCCTGATTTCAATGGGATTTGAGACCGTGTTTAGACTCTGCGATGACCGATCTGCTGGGATGTCATTCAACTCTACGCGGAACATCGTCCCTGTGATTACTTATAACAGATTCTCTCCGAAAACCACCGTTCTGAGCTATCGAATAGGTAATGTAAATTTCTTAGGAAGCGATTCCATGCCTTTGAAATTACTTAATACTATAACGCGATTCATTACAGTTTCTTCTGATGCGACCAAGTGCAAGGATAGCGCTATGTATGTTTCCTTTCCAACTAAATCATTTCCGTTTCATTCCTCCAAGAGTAGAGTATGTTTTAGATGCTCGGTGTTGTTAAGATTAAAGCCCTGTACGTTTTCAACCACCGACGGCTTTAGGAGGAAGTACTGTCCAAAATCATGCGGCTTCTGTTTGTAGTCATTGACGTCTTAATAAATAGTCAATTCCGTTGTAAAACACATTGATTTAATAACATTTGCAAAGTATACACACTCTCAAGCAAAAGTACACACATACACACACACACACACACACACACACACACCACGCATAGCGGCATTATAATTATATCCTCTCCAGTATAGAACATTTAATGGTGTGAACGCTAAACAAAAACGTCGGAAAAAACAAAAGCGTGCGGTGGCGAATACGTTGGTGAAACGGGTAGACCACTCTGCGTGCGTATAAAGGAACACCTAGTCGGCAAACGTAAACCAAATGCTCCACTAGGCAGTCATAGGACGCAAAAACATAACGGAGAAGATTTTGAAGTAAGGGTTACGATCTTCGCGCAAGAATCGAGAACACAAGCGTGCAAAACTTTGGAGGCTTCCTGGATTAATTTCAAGAATCTACAGCGAGGAATGCCTCATTATCACGCGTCATGTTGGGCTGTATATAAGCATGTTATTTTGATGAGATGGGCACGATACGATTCCGTGTGAACTCTGTGCGGTTGGTCTTCACGTGACATATTTAGTGGAAGACTCATAGAAAGCGGTGAGTGTGCGGAGAGAAAGCTGTGTTCAATGGGATTGAAATTTTGGTTCAGCACTTTCTCTGTTTGGTTATGGAGATGTTTCGCCGTGTAGATTGTAGTCAACTTGACCATTCCAGGCTCTGAGGAAGGTGAAATTCGCCAAAACGTCAACTTGTACGTAAATAAAGAAATAAAATAACACCTTATGTTTGCTGAGCAGGAGTAGAAAGAATTAAACGAAAACGGTCGTTCGAGGTCCTGCAGTAATTTCTCCCATGGAGCAGCACCCATCGAGTACACAACCTGATCATCCCGTTTCGTGTCCACCAACCGATGTGGAGTTCCGGGCTCTCATTCCACGGTGGATGATTCAAGCATTTTCCAATGGTGGAATGGTGGCAGTAGAGTGCACCAGGAAATTGTTCATAGTCGCATTCCGATCCTGCTTATACTGGAGGCAGAGTTATTTTCTTCCGTCACCAAGGTTTGCGCCACTTGCGCGAATTTCGACACGCTCGCCCACGAAGGCAAACGCGTAGTTTATCCTTTGAGACCTTGGCTGGTAATTTCACCCAAAACACAGTTGCTGTTAGTGATCACGAATCTATTGTTCCGTAATGGATACTCTTAGTGAACGACCATCCGAATTCCATATTTGCCTACGTTTATATTTTTTTTTACCTATTACCTTTTATACGCATGAAAACCCAGCATGCTCAAAAGAGTGCTCCAATATAACGTGCGCGAAATCATCCAACATTCCAAAAAGAATGCTTTATCTAAAGAGTATCGTTAATCTACGACGAATGCAAGATCAACGTCTAGTCCATAGACTCAATGTCCCACTTATTTCTGCTTATTGTGACCTTAATTGCGATGATACTAATTTGGTAAGTGAGCATTGCTCGCAATGGCCTAATGTTCTTCAACACTTCCTAACGCTTGAATATTGTGCATTACTGGTTAACACATAATCTATCTTGTGCAATCACCTCAGTTTAATGCTTATTACTTGCATAGGAATTTCACGGATATTTTCGCCATCGTTCAATTCACTTATATGGCTGAATTTCTGCACCTGCGGTCGGCGAACAACGGAAAAAAGGATCCCCATAATGGAGCTGCACAATGTGAAGCCTTGTCAGAATGAATCGCCTCGCGCAAGCTTTCTCCGTCAGTTAGTCATACGTCGAGTTACGGAAATTCTTTATGGACAGCACTGCATGTGAAAATGCAACTTACTCTTAACTGAAACACACAATGGTCAAATGTGCACATAATGAAATAGCTAGGAAATCCCTCCCATTAGAAGGACCAAATTGATTTAATTACTATAGAACACACCTCAACCATTTTCCCAAATATATACAGACATTTAATTAACACATAATGGCGAGGAATACGGACGAAGTAGAAGGCCTATATTTCAGTCAACTGGCATCAAAATCAAGATTTTCTGGAGTGCTTATCTTGCGCCATCTTCTGATACTTTTTTGTAATCTGGAATATTCATGTAAACTTCGACATCAACATAAAAGATAACGTACAACAACTAAACTAGGTATTGATTTTTTTACCTCGGCTGAAGCAAAGACAACTACATCAAGTTTTACCTGGTCAATAACAATCGATCTTCGACCACGTCGAAAATTCTGCATTCCTGGTATTTTGCGTAGTTTATTAGGGCTTCGCTTAACATCTGATGACACTTTTTCTGCCGGTGCTAAATGTCTTATACCAAGCTACTTTAATTAAACGGACCGCTGAGGGTTAGCAATACGACTCAAATAATGTTCCTAAGTCATCAAAGACGAATAGTATGGCTCAAAGATTTTGCAAAGGCTCCCAAATCAGCACACCAAAATGTACAGCCAAGTCTATTTTTATCTCATAAACCTTGATGGGAACAAAGTCCTCTTCAAGGTTTATGTAAAAATTTTCCATACACATAAGTATGTACAATTTGCATCTCACCTAGCTTGGCTTAAGTTTGGCTGCCATTAAGACACATCACACAGGTTGGCCCAACCGATTTCTGGCCCTTAAGCGTCGTTGGGGACCTCTTTGTGATGCAGGTTCAAATCTCAGATTCCTTGGTTAATTTACATCATATAGGGTATTTCTAGCACCGTACTCACTATTAAGCAATAGGGAGCACTGAGTGGTTTTCCACACTGCTTAGCAATCGTCCAGGTTTTCGACTCACGCATTACAGCAAAAAGAGTTGAAGTCGAAAAAGTGTTCATTTATCAGATTGTTCTTTGTTGTTTTTGCTGTTTTCAATTTTTCTGTAATCTCCGCAAGATTCACATTTTCTCCTGCTTAGCCTTCCAACGGTTTACCGCCTCATCGTGGCAGGAAGGTGTTCTGGGTGTCGGACTGCGATGTACAGCGGTGGTATTCGTCCCTCTGGCATGGTCTCCGAAGCTGAGGAGTCCGGCGTTTCCATCAGGAAGCCTAGTTAAGAGTAAACCAACGAAGATCCACCACCGTCGTGGTATCAAAGTCGCATGATGGCAGATCTCCCTCTGATCCACAAGGACGGCGGCTACCCGTGGTGGTGACGACCTGGGGCAGACTTTGGCCAGACTAACCTCGGGACTCCACGAAACCATAATAGCTAAACCAGCAAAACGTCGAAAAATGGTAATTATGCGGGGACCCGCACAATTAGTGAGGACGGGCCGTTCAAGGATCAAATAAGCAAGTCCTGCAATTATCTTCTTAGTTTTGATTTCCTGACTCAGATACGCTAAGCTAAAGCATTTAGAGTACTCGTTCCGCTCGGTATGAATGGCTAATGACAAAGGAACCCGCTTCCTACAAATACCATTTCCTTGAGACTGATCTGAAGATCTGGTACGACAAAAACGGTCAGCCCAACGCCACGCAGCTGAATTTCTCGGTAAGCACAAGTTCGCTTCTCACCTGCTTTCAACCCTCTATCGAACACTTGAGAATCTTTTAATCAACTGACATGAGGTTCCCAGACACTCAGTTGGAAAGCTCTGTGAAGCAATGGGTGATACATATAACAGCGGAAGGTGAGGTAAGGTGTTGCGAAGGCAAAACAATTCATGAGCAGCACCTTACCTTCCACACTCTTTTCGGCTGGAGTTGAAGCATCATCATTATTTACGTGATCGCTCGACTTCAAATTTATTGATGAGCATGGTGCACGAAGAATCGACAAACCAGGCATTTTAACATCATTGGACAACCTGTAAAATCCTAACAATAGAATGATGCATCGATCAGTGTTCACACCATGTCAAAAAACTGACGTAGGTGAGTGATTTTTGGAATATGGAGATTGGTTCACAGAACAGCTTTGGCCAATACTTCCTTTCCCTGCAATTAGTTACACGTTTTATCAACCAATTTAATACTTAATTTATAGATTTATTACCACTATGGATCTTGCCAGTTACTAAATGTCCATTTAAAAGCCTCATTAAATTGAAGTAAAAAGCCAAAATAGCACCATCTCGTTAAACTTGAAAAACGTCGTACTAGAAAAAGCAACTATTCACTATTACTATTTAAATTGAAGAAGTCATTATCTATCTTTCGATCCTAAGCAACTAATCAATAACACGTAAAAATATTGTCCCTTACCACGTGTACGTGAAACTGACGACGATTCTACAGACGAACTAAATGTCACCAGTTCCTTCAATGATCTAGAATTTCACTTATAACTCTTCTAAAAATATCGCGAAAGATTACAAAGTGAACAATTCTTCATATTCTTGCTTAGCAAACGCGAGGTGTTATTTTACTTCTTTATTTGCACACAAGCTGACGTTTCTGCGGATGTCGCCTTCTTCAGAACCTGGAAAGGTCTAGTTGACAGCAATCTACCCCCAGCCAAACATCTCCATAACCAAACAGAGAAAATGTTAAATGTTAAAATGCTTCTGTGCTTGGCCAAGTAGACTGCGCTCAAATTCACCCAAGCTCAGGAAGGGTGAAATCCGCCAAAAAGTCGACTTGTGTGTAAATAAAGAAATAAAACACCTCGTGTTTGCTTAACAAGAATAGAAAGAATTGTTCGATTAACGTCGAGGTTAATAGAAAGCCGGTCGTGGGAATCACATAGTGAATTACTTCATAATTTTCCCCATACCTTGGTGACTGCTTCTCGTTTTTCGAACCAACATTGGATGAAAGCGAGGACTTCGCTGCAAAAATGTTGTGCAATTAAACGTATCCTAATTTCAACAGCTCTTCCAAGTTCTAACAAGGCGTAAAAATTATCAAATTCCAAAGATGAGGAAATCCACCTAGTCGTTTAATGTGTACATGTGGTCTATTTGCTTTAATCAATCGAGGGACAGTGGGACCCACTCTGTGCTGAGCCACATCGCTCGAACAAGGTCCATCTCTCACTGAAAATAAATTCTATTCGCTATACCATCCCGGACCATTTACACTACAAACATAGTTCAATAGCTGAGGTGTACAATAGCGATACGAACCATCAGTAACCGGCTCTACACATTGTTCACCGTTCTTCTCACTCTTCGGTTCGCCTCCTGCAAAAATAATTTTTGATTAAATAACAAATATCATCAGGGATCATCTCATTTTAACTCACCAAATTTGTTTCGTTTCACTGCCTTACTCTCATCAACTTCAAGGGTCTCACTCAAAGGCTCTTCACTGCCACGTTTACGACCACTACTGTGAAATTTTTTTATTGCGTTATCCACAATCTATAAGAAAAATACAAACCAATTACTAGCGCATAGTATAGTAAAATTTCACATAAGAACCCTTACCTAAAATTTTAGTTCCATTCATTATTTTTATATTTTATATATATTCCATTTTTATTCACTGCCTACTGTTTTCTTCATGGCAGGGTTTTATGTTAAATAAAACCACGACGATGCTAAGATATTTGCAGAACTCGAAACTTCAAGACAGATTCGAACCCACGATTACCTCTTCCGGACCCTCATGTGTTACACACTGCATCACTGAAGCCCTCGCTCTGTCTTTCTCTCAGTCATGTTTTTACCGTAAGAGTGCTATCAACAATTACCCGTTAACGGGAATAATCTGCAAAGCACAAATCGGTTTTGAACCTAGCTAAGCGGAAGCTGCAATCGAAGTTACAATGATTTCATTCACTTCCTACTATTTTTCCATCGCAAGGTACTCTGCCGGAGAGGGTAATCGCAGGTTCGAAACCGGCCCACAGTTCCGAGTTTTGCAAATTTCTCAACATCATGTGACTAAATTTCAGGATATTTCATAGAAACTGTTAACCAAAATACAAACAATAACAAATACGAAATTGCAAACTACCCTCCTATAGGAAAAGAAATTACAACTGTTAAGTATTGAGCTATTCTTCAATAGTTTAACTTGTGATTTTAACGCCAATAAGAACCGTTTTATAGTCGCCTTTACAGCAAACAGAAAACAGCAATTTAATGGCTAACTGGTTGGTTAAAATAGGTATTCCTCATTTGCGATATACATATATAAACATATATGCATAAACTAGTGTATATCGATTAAAACGCACCTTATATAACACAGGAAAATCAAGGTGTGCACGATACTCAGTTTTTCGCACAACTATAAATATATCCCTCAGCGGAGCAATGCTATCATAACTTTCCTGAAACTATAAATTCCCACAAGACACATAGGCTATCAGTTTTTAACAATGCACACTGAATAGTTCACTAAGTGATGCATTAGATTTTGACTGTTCCCTAGTGGTTCGATCCCTTTACAAAACACAGAGAACTATACAACTCTTGAAGTTTGGTGTATGGCAGTGGAAAAATCATCAAAGAAATATTAAAGAGCGTGCGACGATCCCAACGGAGACAATGAAAATTCTAAAATTATAAATGGAATACAAATCAAGCAGTGAATATTTATGAAAAACAATCTGAGCGTAGTCAATTGTTTAACGGTAGTCAGTGAGGTATCCGATAGTTCAACTCATCTTGTCTCTCTTTCATCACCTCAAAAAGAAAGTTTTCGACCTAGCTGAGACAAAAATCGCCATTAAAAATTTAGACCACCACTGCATCTCTACTCAGTAAAAAGAATTTTTAGTGAACTACGTAGAAACTTTGCAACCTGAACTTAGTCACTCTACTGCGACTTCGGCCGTTGACATAAGCAGAGCGATTCTGCAATGTGATACTCAAGGCCATCACACAAGAAACAGAATGGGTAAAAAGAGTGTAATCCGATGGGTTGAAATACATCACCTCTGTACTGCCGAGACTACCGTTCTTGACCTCTAATAGACGCACGCTCCTTAGCGCGGCTCTCCGAGTGTAGTACGAGCAATTTTCTGTCGGTTGCGGATCTTCTGGTTTTTTGACAATAAGAAATACAACAAGTAGAATGTTTAAATATCTCTAAAAAGCTTCTGACGTTGATCAATCCCTGGACGATACGCCATATATTGGACTTCACTAAGCATCGCTGGAGGTAACTGAATGCATATCTGGTCTTTACAATGACTCGTGGTAGCCTAGCGATGTGTTGACCCAGTGATGTTATCCTTCCAGACAAATCTGGTACTAATTTGCCGACCCGAGACGGATGGAATGCTTGGTGGGCGTGGGGTGCGGGGATCGATCCCATGTGTATTGCAGGGCGCTTCCAACCAGAATGTTTAAATTGTAAACATGACGGAATTGTAGAAGACTGCCCTATTGTTCTATGGGCATGATTGATATGTATGTTACTACTTACTATGTGTTGTTATTGTCCATCATGCAAATACACTACTATAAGCACCTGGAAGTACTTTGTAGCTTATGTTGAGCCTACTTTGGCATTTTTACATTCACACATATCAACCACGAACCACAATGATTAAAATCAAATAAAGACTGCTAGTCATATTAGCATTCAAGAAACTCCTCGGAAAAAGATTTTTGTAAATCACTAAGTGTGGAGAATTATTTTTCCGATCCGACCCCTACCATTTTGATCGGCTTTCGATTGGGTATCAAATGAATAAAGATATAGAGTAAAAAAATTCTGGAACGCACTAAACTGAAAATGGACACTGTAATGTCCATAACGGGTTAATGGGCTATGGGTTAAAGTAATTGCGGGTTAAAACATCAAGCATTGTCTACACGCAAGTAATATTGGCCGACTTAAACGGCGCTTGTGGAAGAATTGATTTTCGCTTGAATCTCAAAAAAAGAAAGGAAAACGATGTGCATGGAAAACGAATTCATTTCTGATGAGCCATTTATGTTCGATAGAAAAAAAGATCTCTTCCATTGGTTTAAATATGTACACCTGGGTCAGAAAGTCAGCAGGGTAAGTGACAGCTTTAGAGCGAAGCAGGATGTGAGCGGGTTGAGGAGTTTATAAGATCACAGCAATATAAAAATGGCAAAGAATGACCGGATCCGCACCCACATTTCAACTTTAGATTTTCCTGTTTTTTGTTCATCGAAAAATTTGAACGATATCTCAGTAGAATCAAAAATCACTCAACGTTACTGAACGAAATGTGGAAAAGCTGGTGACAATAGTATCCCTACAATATGAATGTGAGTGAACCCGACATCCCACTTTACGTCAACGTTCGAAGGCTCTGCGGAGTACCCCAAATGATCGCCACATGGGTTATGAATTCTGACAATAAGCGCCTGACTGACTTCCAAAGGGTGTATAGCACACGAAGGGAAGACCATCGATCCAGCAATAACAATACGCTCAAAAAATATGGGGGAATATGACACTCCTTAAGTTACTTGAAGAGGCAAAATATATTGAGCAACTCGGAGCATGTGGCAAACTGGTGAAAACTGCTGGTGCCAAATAGGGTTAGTTTATAAGCAACAGGAACGATCTCTCATTCTCTTATTTTTCATATCCTTCATTCCTGCTTCTTTCTTTGGTATGACTTAACCAAACCATGTTCCAACTCCAAACACAAAATGCATCCTGGTGTTCCAACACAAAACACTTACATAAATGTAACACCGACTCACAGTGATAGGCTAAACAACCAAATGAATCGAAACCAAACCTTCAAGTGCTTTTTCAAACTTGATGGCACGTCCGACAGAAGAGTCTCCTTCAATTGATGAACCTCCGTGAGATTTGACTCATATGCCTGAAAACATTTGAGCGCAGAGTTAACCAATGCTTCCATATTCTTCACCTACTTGCCATGGAAGAGAACCATTCAACCAGTACATGATATTGTACGCGAGTATTTCCAAATCACCGCGATAGGAAGGATGACAGCCACGATGTGCATCACACGACGTGAACAACGGAGTGCCATTGTGAGCTAATAATAGACAAACTTATCGAAAAAGCGATACTTTGCTGTTAGGCTGTTACTTTGCCACAATAATTATCCGACATTCAAAATCACACTGAATATAGAATTGAAAATCTTGTAAAGAAACAAATGATATAAGACCAAAAGATCAGGTAATGACAAGCATATCGACTAGTCGAAGTTGTCGCTACCGTCATGAAAAAATCCGTCACTAGCGACAAACCTTTATTTGGTCACAAAAGCACTGACGACTGTCCATGGTGAAGAGAAGGGAACATTATGGCTAAGTAAATTCTGGTCGAAAATCCAACCTTTTTGGACTTCCAAAAAAACGTTGACATCGGCATGGTATTTCCTCAGATCTTATTGAGTAGAAAGTAGACTGTTTCTACATTAGAACTTCAGTTGATCACTAATGCAACTGTATGAAGAAAGTACAGCTCTAAGATCAAAACATTACTATGGCAATAGGATAACAGTCCAAACGGTGACCCAAAAAGGGTGATATCAACTCGCCAACGGTGCCCACCGACGCATACCAGCCTTTATATTAGAACAACAGCAGCAAGCACACTTAAGAAATATTCATATCATTAGCTTTACCAACGACATTCATTTAATACCGAAATAGAAACAATATTCAACGACGATGGGAAATAAATCAAAATGGATGGTAATTCAACTCCAGAAGCACTACACGTGCACCTTAACGTTAGGTCAACGTGGGAAACAACGAAAATGAAACGTCCAAAGAGGAGAATCGTGTGCAGCTTTACGAACTCCCACACAAACTACCCATCAAGTGACGAATCCGAAACTCCGTGCTCATCTCTTTAACTCTGTGGTTCCTCCAAACCCTGTGTTAGTTGTTAGTAGATGTTGAGAGTTTAACAAGCCGTCCATAACTCACCTGATGATTTCTGAAATATGGGCAATACACAGAACACAAAGTCGAACTATACAGCACAAGTTTTCGGAAACTATCACGTCCTCGACAACTAGAGGAATACAAACCAAACGCGAAATACCAATAGACGTGTAATGAGAAGAGTTGACATTAGGGTAGTAGTAATAGCAAGAACACTAAAGTAGACCATAACAGGACGGTAGCGCACTCTTGCAGACCACCGGAAAAATAGCTACGCTTTTGTCTTCCACGACAACCAACCACGTTCGCAGCTCCAAACAATTTAGGAACAAAGAATGATAGTCAATGATATTCGTTACCATGTCGATATATCTGGTGCAATTCACTATTAAACGACTACACAGAAGTAAAGAAACGGTTGAAGAATTTGATGCAGCCGGCAGGACTCAACAAGATGGGTCATCGAAATAATCGTTTCGTTTTCACTTGACGGGATTCATTTTGATAGTACTTGGAATACAGTAATCCTTCAAGTTACCTCTTTGCTTCAAAGGTCGGTCCTCATTGCTGGATGACATTCGCGCTAAACCGTAGTCAACAAGAACTGCAAGAACATAAGTGAAACAAAGAAGTAAAAATTTGACGAATTCAAAAGTATTTCAGAAAAATTTCAACATTAGAACTACAGAAGAAATCTTACCACATGACGAAAAGTCATTAGGACGCTCGAGCAGAATGTTTGCAGCCTTAATGTCGGCATGAGTATAGTTCTGGAAATATTGAGATTGTACAAAGAAAAAAGATACAACTGGAGTGAAACATGTCTTCAGTCTGAGAACAGACCGACTATAACGTGACCTATTTAAACATTCCAATAGTGATTAAAAAATAAAAGGACAAAACTCTCGGTGTTAATCAATCCCTTAGGGATGCGCCATGCATTGAACTTCATTAAGCATCGTTTGGAGGTGATTGAATGCATATCTGGCCTTTACAAAGACTTGCGGTGGTCCACCGATGTATCGAGCCAGTGATGGTATTCCCCCAGACAAGTCTGGTAGCTATTTGCCGACCCCGGAAGGATGGAAGGCTTGGTGGGCTATGGGCGCGGGGATTGAGCCCATGTGTCTTGCAGCGCGTCCCCGAGCAGCAGGCCGCACGCGCCCCAAAATGATGGTATAACCCACAATATAATCACTTTTTTACTTATTGCCTATTCTTTTATCATGCAGAGGTATGCTGTGAAATATAACTACAATGATGCTGAGATATTTGCAAAACTCCAGACCGCAGGTGTCTGCGGTGGGGATCGAACACGCTATCAGCTTCTTCGGGGGCTAATGCGTTCACCACCACACCATGCGGGTCCATCAAGATCGTGTTTTACAAATAGCTCACTGTGGTGGTACAATTCATTTGCAAGCTTTCGGATTCATTCAAATATACGATATGCGAAAAATAATAGCTGTTTTTGACTTTAAAACAAAAAGAAAAAACTCAGTTCATCGCGCTTCGCAATGACTGGAACCGGTACAATGTACAGAACTTTGCTAATTATTGCTAATACTAATCATTTAATTCGACAAAGACACGCTGGCTCAATAGACGTATTATTTCGCCTCTTCTTGTTAAATTCGAACAACGAAACCACTAAGTAAAGGAAACGTCGTCGAGAAGGACGTGATGCCACTGTCCAACGTATCATTGATGTTGACAGCTGTTAAGTTTATGCGAGACATCTCAAAACTTTGCTCTCATTTATTAAGAAACTTTAATTTCAAACGAGATTACAAGCATGACCCTTTTCGAAAAACCATATTTACTTTTGAAACAACACAGCAATATCTCTTGCACAAGTCAAGGAAGTTCATGAAGAGCAAGGTCTCTCCTAGAAGTCCAAGAAGCTCCCAATTCACCAAGTACTCCATTTATCGAAAACTACCACAACTGTTGATAAACTGACTACGAATTCGAAGCAGTAAAGTTAGAACAACTAAACTATTTTCTGGTAAGTATACAAAAATTAGCTCGCATTGTTATGGATGTACTCTGCTAGCAAATGAACTACCGAGTAACAAAGTGAATTTTTAAGCTAAACTAGCCAGTTTTCAGCTTACCTTTTCATGAATGTACTCCAGACTTTCCAACATGCATCGAACAATTGTCCAAACGTCAACAGCAGCCAACTTTGGTGATTTTTCTCGAATGTTCTCTAGAGAGATGGCGTACTTAGGCATCACCAAGAAGCGCAACTTCTCTCCGCCATGATGATGAATTCCGCATGAAATAAGCTGCGGTACACCCACTCGAATCAATTCTGCAAACATGAATAGTACCATATGAAGACTGAAGAAATATTTAAACACCCTGGTTAGAGAAGTCGGCAATGAGTAGCTTCTTCTTTACCGTTATCAGAAATTAAAAGAAACTAACTTTTTCGCCTCAAAAACTCTTCGATCTGGTCTTGCTTTAGTATTCGCACAAATACGTTTACTTCCGTGAACAACGGACCGTTGCCAAATGGTTCCACTTTCACTGCAAGCTCCTTTTTTGATCCGATCTAAACAAAACTTTGATTGCAATGTAATTACTTTTTATTAACTGCCTGTTCTTCTTTCATGACAGGGTATGATGTGAAATACAGCTACAACGATGCTGAGATACTTGCAAAACTCCGTACCGCTGGTGTGTGCAACGAGGATCAAACTTCGTTATTAATCTTTCTGAGAGCTAATGTGCTCACCACCACCACATAATGCGTGCCCTTCGCTTCGCCTTTTTGTCAGTCGTGTTTTATAGACGCTATCAGCAATCACCCGTCAACGGAATTCGTCTAGGAAGAACTAATCAGCATTGAAAAAATATGAAAATCATTGCATGGAAAAAGAATAGGCAGTAAACAAAAAGTGATTACAATGTGATTTACACTATCGCTTCAGCATAACTAGGTTCAATGCAGATTTGTGCTCCCCAGATCACCTGGTGATTGCTGATAGCGCCTATAAAACATGGCTGAGAGAAAGACGAAACGAAAGACACGCATAGCGTAGTGGTGAACACGTTACGCTCCGGAAAGGGTAACAACGAGGTTCGATCTCCGGTCCGGAGTTTTGCAAATATCTTAGCATCACTGTAGTTATATTTCACGTCACAACTTTGATTTTCTGAAGCAGCAACAAAGACTGCAATACTACACAGACACTCATACTTTAGCATTTCTTTTCAAAAATAAGAGTAAAGAGATCAATCATATGCACAAATAATAGCGAAATCAAACATGGAAAAAAAGCTCCATTTTCTGTCTCTTTAACACTTACTGGACGATGTGACCTATGCAGGACTCATACACTGCGAAAATAATGGTTGCTTTCAACTTCAAATCAACACATCTCAGCTTATAAATGACTTTACAAACCGCAGTAAAAACTGCGAAAATTTACAAGCTTCTGCCCACAGCTATCTCCCCTGACACTGGTGACATGAAGATTCTGTGGAGACCACGACATATATTTCTTCCACTTTATTGTTCCACGACTCATATTTTGAACAAAATGCTAACTAGGGAAATTCCATCCAACATGACATAAGGGTGTTCCGCGATGTTCAATTATGCTTTTTGCCGCTGACGTCTCGCCGGAAACTCGAAGAACTTAAATCTCACCTTCGATTTTTTGAAAACTTTAAATCCAAGCGCATTTATATTTCAAAGGACACTGCGTTAAAGACATTATAGCAACTTACGAGATAGAGAAAAGTTTTCTCTATAAATCTGTACTTTTGAACTCATGAGACGCTCTAGCGATGCATAAATTGCTGTCAGCTATCGAGAATCCAAATTCTACACGAATGGGTCAAACAATACAAAAGAGATAAAGGACAGAGCATTCGGCGTTTATCAATCCTTGATGGATGCAGTATGCACTCAACTTCATTAAACATCGTTAGAGGATACTGAAAACACATCTAGTCTGTATAATGACTCGCGGTGGCCTACCGATGCGTAAAGCCAGTTCTATTATCCTCTCAGACAAGTCTGGTGCCAATCTGCCGACTCCGGAGAAATGGAAAGCCTGGTAAACCCGGAGATTGGGATCGGCTAAACAACCCTGCGTGCATCGCACTGCAAGTCTAACCACTGCTTTATACGCGCCCTTTTCATACAGTATACTCATAAATTCTATAATTCGGCTTTACACATTGTGCAGAACTCAGCACTTTTCCAAATGGTTGATTGCCATGCATCTGTTACCAAGGAAGGTTTCCGACGTGCGCATCGGTTCTCCTACAACTTGAGGACTTTGCCTTCTTCAGAGACATCATTGAATCCTGGGCAAATAGACTCTCGCTAAAATCCCAGGTTAGTTCAACTACAGCATTTGCAAGTTCTAATGACATGAAGTTGCCGACGTAAATGCGTCATGGGGAGCTTTTCCCAAACAGGTATGGAATGAATCCGGCGATCTCAGAGCGAAAGCAGAGGATTGGTGGAACCAGCGAAAACAAGCGTACGAGCACGGCATCTCTAGCCATTGCGTTTCCAACGATCCTTTTTTAGCCCATTCAAAGCCTTTACTGTTTGAAATACACACTTTAATTTCGGAAATACGATAACATCGTAGGACCTACATCATGTACAAGTTTGGTATAAAGAAATGTGTCCTTCGTATTACTCAACCTAAAAACAAAATAATTACGAAAATAGAAAAATTGTGCAAAAACAGTAAGCAGAATAACATGAGTCAAGACTTTAGGCGAATTTCTGTCCCTGAATGAAAAATATAATCCACAACTCCTGCGTCTTGGCACTACCACACCGATGGTTCGCTTAAGTCATAAAGATTACTTAGCTAAAAGTCCAATATACTATCTAAAATATAATTTTGAACCCAATATAATTTTAAGATCAAATGAAGCAGATTGAACAAATTATAAATGCGTCACCTTCGTTCTCAACAATCGCTAGTTTATTACACAGCATACGTATACTTCAGTACAAAAACATGCACAACGCAACAGTAGCCGACGTTTCGGCAGTATCGCCTTCTTCGATTCTGATCAACGGTTCTTTCTCAGTGGAAGACACGCAAAAAAAAACAGTGGAATTGAAGAGGAAACATACGGCGGTGTCTTAGTATCATCTGGTTACAGGGTTTACTTATACTTTTCGAGAAAATCTGACCATAGTTACTCTTCTGAAAACATTTGTTCGATGCACCTTTGATGAGTCGATATGAAATTGCTGGTCAATATCAAAGTATTGGTGATGTCCTTCCTAAACTAAAGTTTCAGAATTTTCAGTAAATTGCAATTTTCTAATCTAAAAATTGTTTGGGCCGATTGTTGCTTTGAATAATATCATTTTGGAAATGTCCGTTTAAAGCACAAGCGTTGTCTACAAGCTATTCCTTCACTATAATAGTCAGGAGTTCTGAAAAAGAACAGTAAACACTGCAGCGTTCAGTGACTGCATGAGAAAGGTTTGAAGCCACCAAAGAGCTGATCTTTTTGCGAAATAATAGTCTCTTAAACTAATGAACTTTATGTTGAAATAAAAACGGCTAAAAGTTCTTATCTCCCAACAGTTTACCGCCTCGCTCAGGTGTGTTCCTGAGTGTCGGGCTGCGATGTTTAGTGATGGAATTCATCTCCCCGACAGGGTCTCCCAAGATCAGGAGTCCGGCGTTTCCATCAGGAAGCCCAGGCAAGAGTATACCAATACGAGCATCCACCACCGTGGTGGTATCAAACCAGTCGCATGGCGGCAAATTTCCATCTAATCCACAAGGGCGGCAACTGCCAGTGGTGGTTACGACGTGGGCAGACTGGCTTGTCTGACCTCGGGACTCCAAGGAACCACAATAACTAAACCAGCAAAATTCCGGAAAAACGGAAATTATGCTGGAGCCTGCACAACTAGTGAAGATGGGCCATTCAAGTATCCAAGCAAGTAAGTATGTGTTATTGAAGCGTTTGGCCTAGCAAATTGCACACCAATATATCCTTCTAGGCTCTGAAGAAGACGATACTGCCAAAATATCAGCTACCGCTGCGTTGTATGTGCTTTTTATACGGAAGTAAACGTATGCTGTATAACAACCTCGCAATTTCTGAGAAAGAAAACGATGCATTTATAATGCAAAGCCGAGGTTGATAGAAAGTCGATCCTGGGAACTGTAGACTGAACAGTTAATAAACCTAGCAAGAACTGAATACAAACCGACCTCCTTACATGTGTATATTCTACCGAAGCCACCGGAAGCGAACTGTTTACCGATGCAATACTGCTTCTTGTTGGTTGTGTCATGTAAGATAGAATTTTGTGGCAGTTCTACCGCCAGCTGGTGTAGCTTCTTCCTCGTTGTTTTTGGTGGCATCAGCAAACAGACGAAGTACTCTGAAAGTGCAACATAAGAAAACAGTTTCTAACAACTTATGGTGTCGAAAAGTATAGAACAATACAAAATTATGTTTGGGCGGGAACTAACGCTTTGGACGGGCAAAACGCCCAGTAGTGAAAACACAAGGCACGATAGAGGAAGCACGTATAAAGAAGATGGCCTAGATTGCATACGAACAAACTATCTATTACTGCTCAATCTTGATGTTCGAATTTTTAAACAAATGGACCACAAAACCCCTATGAAAGAGATCGCTGGCAAAAACCCCTCCCACTGTGACATATGCGTGAACCACGTCTAAATACTAAAGTAGTCAGTAACCATGGCGGTCCAACGCAAGTAGTACTGCTGTTCATCCAAAGTAAACCAGTACTTCACCAAAGCAATCTTGGGGTTTGCAAAAATATTTCGAAAAAGAAACGCCACTTCTCTCGGATTCATTGATCCCGCCTCTGTGTTCCGATAGGAGCAGTAAAACTTCACCGGAGCGCGCTCACACTCGTTATTTTTCTTGGTTCGGTTACTCTTGATGTTTGCTAAAGGATCAAGACTTTCTTTCACTAGTTCTCCAGAGCTTAGCAAGCATCTTGCTCATCTTTGGTTGAAACTCATAAAGTTCGAATAATCTGAAAATTATATTTAGTACAAAGGTAGCCTCTGTAAAGGAAAAAAGAAAGGATATTTATTCAGCTAACGAATATTGGTATTGTTTACTTGATACTCGACACTTGAATGGCCCGCCCTCACTGGTTGTGTAGGCCCCAGCACAATCTCCATTTTTTGGAAACTTGCTGGTTAAGCCATTGTGGTTCCCTGGAATCCCGAGGTCAGCTTGGCCGAAGTCTGCCCCAGGTCTTCACCACCACAGATAGTCGCAGCCCTTCTGCATCAGAAGGATATTTGCCACCATGCGACTTTAGTACCGAGACGGTGGTGGATCTTGGTATTGGTTTACTCTCTACTAGGCTTCCTGATGGAACCGCCGGACTCCTTAGCTTGGAAAACCTTGTCGGGGGATTGACGTCACCAGTTATACATCGCAGCCCAACACCTAGGAACATCCCAGCCACGATGAGGCGGTAAACCATTGTGAGGCTTGGTATTGTTCATTTTAATAGAAATCTTTGTTAACCTCATGTTAGCTTAACAATCGAAGAAGGTATTGGTTATTATCACCGGGATTAAGTGAAGATCGAGTTCAAGGAACGAAAGAAACAAGCAGCTAACTACTGCTCCTCAATGCAGGACGTTACACTCGTCTCATTTGGCCCGAGAATGTTCCTGTGTGTCAAACTGCGATTTACAGCAAGACGTTTGTAACCTGTTAAAGTTACCAAGACTAAGAGGTTCGATATTCCTATCCGGAGGCTTGGTTAGGAATAACCCGAACTACGGCATAACTCCGCGAGCTACCCACGGCCATCTGCTTCCCGAACAAAGCAAAGGAATCGGCATTGAATCTAGTTGCGCTGAAGTTAATAACGCAAAAAAGTAAATATAATGTAGTAAGATAATAGATAACAAATTTAACATAAGAGTGGTATCACAAAATAATAGGCGGTGAAGAGAAGTTACGTCCAAACAGTTTACCGCCTTATCGTGGCTTGGAGGTGTTCCTGGGCGTCGAGCTGCGATGTACAGCTGGGGGATTCATCTCCTGGCAGGGTCTCCCAAGCTGAGAAGGAGTCCGGCGTTTCCATTAGGAAGCCTAGCTAAGAGTAAACCAATACCAGGGATCCACCACCGTCCCGGTATCAAAGTCGCTTGATAGCAAATCTCCCTCTGATCCACAAGGACTGTGGTGAAAACCTGGGCAGACCTTGGCCGGACTGACCTCTGGATTCCAGGGAGCCACAGTGAGTTAACCAGCAAATCTCCGAAAAATGGAGATAGTGATGGGGCCCGCACAACCATTGAGACAACGGGCCATGTACATCGCAGCTCAACTCTCAGGAACACCTTGCAGCCACGACGAGGTGGTAAACTGTTTGGAGGAATGTAATAATCATAAAAGTGATACAACCACGATGATGACGAGATGTAACCAGAACTCAGAACTCCAGATAACCCTCCAACCCGCTATTACTCTTTCCGTAATCTCAAGTGCTCTCCACTGCACCACTGAGGCCCTCACTTTGCCCCTTTCTATTTTGTTAATAATAATAATAATAATAATAATAATAATGATAATAATAATAATACTATAGGGATATGCTAGTACCTATCGATGAAAAATGAAGCAATGATTGACACACGTCTTCTCTTTCTGAAGTAAAGCTCGTACATGCATGAAGTAAAAATGAAATCACTGCGACATATGCTCATTTCGTTGCGCTACCACAATGAATGATAATGTTCTTCTATGTACTTTCAAACTCTTTTTTCTACAAATTTACATTGTATTCAACATATTAACATGAAATTTCTAGACGTAACAAACAAATGATGACTAGGCCCATCAAACTGTACAAGAAAATAACGCTAGCGTTCTCATTAAAATGAATATGACGTTAAGAACAAACCTAAATATACGACGAGATGTTCAGTTCATTAACAACTAGTCGAGTTACTATCGATGCTGAGAGTGCCGCATCAGAATGGTAGAGGTCAATGATTATTTTCTTCCTCGCATTCAGTGGCACGCCTCATTACATTTAAGATCATTCACCATTCAATATTACCGGCAATCATAGCGTATCAGAACAGTGAAACAGAAGTTTGTGAGTTAGAATAAAACAACTAGTTCCGTACAAAATTCTCTATCTTAAACGAAACACAAAGTTATTTGGTGAACAACTCAGTAAAATCACAACTAGATGTGTTTTGCTTAGACAAAACGCTTAAAACATTTAATAGATCTCACAACTTAAACCTGAAATTCTCCACCACAGGAAAACCAAAACCATAGAGATATGTCTTGAGAAAAGTTATTTGTATATTCATACAGATGCTCGGTGTCCTAAACAGATAAAATTAATACAGTACTAGACTATAGATGGTATTACCTTCACTGAGAAAATGTACCATTTGCTTGAATCAATAAAACAGGAGATGTACGTTTAACAAAATTAAAAACGCTTCTTCACTTGACGTTAGCTGTTTTTCTGTCGAAAGAAGAGCTTCAATAGTAGTAAAATAGCATGCCAATGTAGGAAGTTCGTGTAGCGCAGTGGTCGGAGGCGCCCTGAAATACACATGGAGTCGATCCCAGCGCCCAATCCCATAAAGCCCACCATCCTTTCGGATTCAGCAGATTGCTACCAGACTTCTCCGCGAGGATAGCAGGGCTGGCTCGACACATCGGTGGGCCACTACGAGTCATTGTAAAGGCCAAATATACATCGAATTACCTCCAACGATGCTTAGTGAAGTCGAATGCATAGCGCATCTCTCAGGGATTGATCAACGCCGACAGCTTTATTCTTTATTTTATCCTAGCATGCCAACAGAACAGCGAATTTATTTATATGTATACTCGGATAAGAATTGTACCACAGTTTAGCAATCGCCTTAATCAAAACTGTACAAATAATTGGTCCTAACTCTGAAACTTTTCCTTTTACAAAGTATTTAACCATTTTTTGTCCTTCCAAGAAAATACTCCAGAAAACAACACCATTGCTACTCATCTTCCCTCGAAGGCTTACGCACCGTATTTCCGCTCCAGTTATCCATTGTTCACATATGCTTGAGCAACATTTGGTACGGGTCGACGACGTGGGAGCGGTGGAGGTGGGAGATGAAGCGGATGCCCACCTTCACCATCCGTTGAGTCCTGGTACGGATGTCGAGACTAAGAGGACACTTTTATTAAAAGCCGTTCCTCATATGATGAATAACAGACGAATTACTGCAGCTATTCTTACCCTACTTTTAATAGCAATGTAGCAACTAATCGCTTTGTAGAGGAAGACGTATTGTGCTTCGGTTTGAACCATACGACTACGCTGTTCTCGGATTTTCATAACAATACGCGGAATATCAATCGGACAGGAGCTGCCTTAACGTGGTTTTACTCTTATGGAGAAGCACTATAACTATTTCAATCAAGTACATAAGATGATGTATGAGGTGTCCTACCTCTATGTCGTATTTGATTTAGCAAAATATCTATGACAATGAATGTTCCCGTTCTTCCGATTCCAGCACTGGAAACGACGTCTTGTTATGTAACGCTCACTACTGTTTCAACCAATCTTTCATTGTTTAACCACTTCGTTTTTCAACAAACCTGCAGTGAACAATTACCGGGCCCTGGGTGGAAATCGCTTTTTTACATGCTATGTCCACAGCATCCAAAAACCGAAGCACTGATTCTGGGTGCTCCGGGCATCCATGATCAGGCCACCCAATGAATTGGAGATGGAAAAGCTCACGCTGAGGCATACCTAAGATATCGTAGTATGTCTTGTAAAACCTATAGGACCTACTTCTGCTGAAAAGTACCATGCAATAGAAGCAAACCTTTTCTTGCCACCATGAACCGTCGCTTAATGAACATGTCTAGTCCATCATCGTCTGGAACTTTCACCTCTTCAACGGTTTTGATCACAAAATCACGAAGATTTAGCTCTTCGCGTAAAGGTGGCCAGTATACATGACATTTGCTCTAAAACTACGTATTTCCTAGATCATAAGACATATATTAAGTTAAAAAACTCTTACTCTCGATCGTTCCATTTCCCTCGTAGTCATTACTATCACACGAGTATTCTCTTGCCATACCATTCGCCAAAAATCGAGCAGAGTATTAAGCAAACAACCTTGGGTGGATATATATTCACGGTTCGCATAAAGGTGTAATGGAGGACCCTCAGGTATCTAAAATGAATTAGCGTAATCAACCACAAAGAAGTCATATTCAACCAGCACGTAAGAAAATACTTTTTTTTTCAAAAATACAGTCGTCCTTCCTCATAAAACATTTAGTTTGCTTTCCCAAAATATCAATCGAAGTTTAGTGAAAAGTACCGTAGTTATCAACCCCGTTATCCCGATTTAAAATTTCACTGCGACCTCCTTGTACTGATATCATAGGAAGTGCAAGAAAACATTATGGAAACAACCAATGGCCAAGCATTTCATCACAACTCTACATATACATTTCCAAAATAATTTTCAGATAAACAAGAGAATACTTAAACCTTTATGTAACTGGCATTTATATAATCAGATTCGCCGGGAGGTACGTCCTTCAAGACAACTCTGCAAAAAGAAGTGGTGAAGTAAAGCAACGCATACTAATTTGAAAGTATACTCACCTAACCACAATGACGCTGAGATATTTGCAAAACTCCAGACTGCATTTGCCTGCAGTTGGGAACTACCGCGCTACTACCTCTGTCGGAATTATCAAATCCGTTGACGGGTGATTGCTGATAGCACTAGGAGATAGAAAACTAGCTGAGAGCGGAGTATACTCTGCCGTAAAAATTGTAGTAGACAGAAAATAGAAAGTAGAAACATTGCAGTTGAGAGATAGGCGAAAGAGGTCCGCATGATGTGATGGTGAAAGCGTTAACCCTCGGAAAGGGTAAAAGCGCGTCCGTTCCCCACTGCAAACACCTGCGGTTCGGAATTTTGTAAATATCTAAGCATCATTGTGGTTGTATCACACATAATACCTAGCGTGAAAAATTATGATAGGCAGTAAGTAAAAAAGCTTAACATTATGCTCATTAAATTAAAAAAAAAAACAGCATCACTATAGTACAAACAAACCTTGTATGGTCGAATGGAACTATGTTCTTATAGCGATTTCGACTAATGTTCTGTTCTTTTTTACCCTCTCGACGAGATGAAAACTGATCATCTACTTGCTGAATGCGCTGAAAATACAGATACACTCTAAGGTTTTTAATGCAAAATTATCAATCCCATAAAACAAAATCCAAAAACTCGACAAGTAGAAATTTTTATATGATCGTCTCTAATTCCAAGAAATGTTCTCATTCATTCGCAAAATCACATAAGATTGGAAATGAGCTAGAAGAATATGTGACAACAGTAACGGAGAAGGGCTTGGGTTGAACGAGTACAAAAGAGAATTACGGACCCGCTTTCACATCTTGCTAGAGCCAAAGAGTGGTCTGAAGGCCTACAACGTGAGTTAAAAATTATATCGAAAGCAAACCATGGCTACTGAAGCATTTTTAAAAAAATTAAAGAGATAAAGCAATGAAAATCCATAACGAAAGTTCTAATCCACCTCAAACTCCTCAAGAAAGCCTGACTTCTTAGTAACTGGATCGATTGCCTCTAAAAGACGAATTCTCTCGTCAATAGCGTCTGCCGGAACACATGTAGACGGGACTAGCTGCAGTACCACAGACTTTTTAACCTTACATTAACCTTAGAACAAGTAGTGGAGAATAAGAACTAAGGTACAACCCACGTTCATCAAATGAACTACACGTTGACTACCTTCTTCGACCATCGGATTATTATTGTAATGCGCAAGAAGCTCACTGACAGTTCGAAACTCATCACCACCTCCTACGTGATACATACCCGTCTGAACAAAACGTTACTTCTTAAAACTACATTATCCAATTCCTCTGACACAGAAAGATTGAAAAGATGGCATGAAAAACTTACATCGGCTTTCTTCTGAATCAAAATATGTACCACATGATCATCGGTAGTTTTCACAGTAATGGCATATGATCCAGGAGCACGCTGACTTTCACTGGAATTATTCCATAAATGATCTGATATTCCCCTTAAAAATGTGTACATCTTGTTCGAATATAAACACTGCTCTTATAGAGCACAGAATCTCTACGACACTGATAAACATCATCTTAAAAAGTCAGTTCATCTTTGATATACTGTTCTTAAGATTGAAATCTCTGCAAAAAAGCTGAAAGCTTAGACAAAACTTGTACGCACCAGGAAATCAGACTTTCATCATGACAAAATAAAGAGACTTGTACATTGTTGGCAAAAATCTGCAGATCCTAACGGCTTTTATTATATTTTAATCTACACGGCTGATAGTTAGGTGGGGCATGGTTGTTCAACAATAAAAAAAAACGATAAAGGTCTCGGCGTTGATCAATCCCTAAGGGATGCGCCATGTAAACGAATTCATTATGCATCGTTTGGAGGTGACTGAATGCATATCTGGCCTTTTACAATGACTCGCGGTGGCCTACCGATGTATCGAGCCAATGCTGCTACACTCTCAGACAAGTCTGGTATCAATTTGCCGACTCCTGAGGAATGAAAGGCTTGGTAGTGCACGGGCACGGGAATCGATCCGCATATATTGCAGGGCGCCTCCGATCAGTGCGCCACACGCGCCTATAGTTACATTAAACAACTAATTTATTCTAGCTGAACTAACCCAAAAACTAGATTAGAATAGAAAATAAAATTGCACAAGTGCAATACAGCACCCATTATACCCAATGAAAATTTCTTTATCTACTCACTGATGTAGTTTTTGAGTATAAGCATCAGGAAAAAGTAGTTTCGTTTACCGAACGAGATAAGTCCATTGTTTCTCTTTCGTGAGAAGCTCGACTGCTTCTGTACCCGTGATGTTGGCATGGAACCAACGCTGTGAGGCCGGCGCTCGAGCCTCTTGTGCAGCTGGCTCGTAGAGTGGAATAGAGATTGGACGCCTTAAGGCAAGCATATTTTAGACTGTCACTTGATTGATAAATGAGAGAAATCGGATGCAAATTTTAAATGTAAATGCTAAAATCGTGTATGAAGGAATCTTAACAAAAAGTTCCAACTGCACATTCTACATTTAATAGATTCACTGCGTTCACATACTTCATAATTATGGATTCTCCGTTCCGCTCTTGCAATTGTTCCGGATTGTCAATGTAAAACTGCACCAATTCGCTCAAAGAAGCAAACGATTCACCTAAGTGGAATGAGAACGTGAATCCAACTTTCAAAAAGGTACAGCTGCTTGCTAAGAAATAGAAAGTATTGAATAAAGAGAAAACTCACCACCAAATAGATCCAGGAAATCATCGCTATTCTTCTGAATCTTCACATGTGTGACGGTTTTCCCACGACTGAAACATTCAATGACACAACTTCAACAACTCAACTAAAGCCTCGAAATCGTTGAAGCGAGCGCTCCTTATCCACAATGACACACCCAAGCCACATAGCGTACATTTATATTCACAAAGTCAGGTGTGAGTAAACCTATGAGTGACGAAAAGTTCTGCCTTAATGAAGTTTGATAGAAAGCAGCAAGCATTTCAGTAACCCACAACTATGAATAAACAAAAGTCTAGGATAGCCTCACATGGTGAGTCTGATTATCACACCCTAGATAAGATGCATATTAGCTATAAAATGGATAAAGCTCTTAGCGTTGATGAGTCACTGAGGGATGTGCCATGCATTCGACTTCATTGAGTATCGTTGGAGGTGACTGAATGAATATCTGGCCTTCATAACTACTTGCGATTAATTACCGATATATACAGCCAGAGTTGTTATCCTCCCAGACATGTCTGGTTCCAATTTGCCGACTCTGGAGGGATGAAAGGCTTGCTGGACCAGGAGCGCGGGAATCGATCCCATGTATATTGCAAGGCACCTCTGACCACATGGGCTATTCGATGGAAAAATGTCTTTCGACAGAACCATAAAGTCCACAATATATCAACCGCGAAGAATTTGCATAGGTGGATTTATAGTAGCAGACGAAGAGGGGTTTACTAGTAAAGCATGAAGGACAAAGCTCTCGGTGCTGATCAATCTCTAGAGGATGCACCATGCATTCGACCTCACTAAGCATCTTTTGGAAGCGACTGAATCCATATTTGGCTTTTACAATGACTCGCAGTGATCTACCGATGTATGTGGGACATGGGCGCAGGGATCGATTCCACGTGTGTTGCAGGGGTTTCGCGCCTGCTGCCTTCCTTGGATGTGGTAGCCGTTTCTAAGGCTCCCTCAGGGCGCCTGCGACCACTGCGCCACACGCGCCTTGGGCTTACTGGTGCAGAATAAAATGTACCAGAGCGAAGTAGTCTTTCGTTATTCCAAACTACAGAATTCAAAAATGGAAAAGTTCCACCTATACACCTGCCGTTTCGTAACCCCCAGACTTCAACATGGTTTCAAGGAACACTTTTATACCTCTATTACGACAGCCAATTTTATAGCACTTTCGTTAATGGTAATTACAAACCGAGACATTTTTGAAAACCTACATGATTGAGAGCGTAAAATTGAAGGGCTGTGATTCACTGGGTCGCGCTAAAAATTCGCCATCGGAACCGTATTGTCTTAGTAGACGTTCCGCTTCCTCACCCGTCACATTGTAGAAAAAGTTGCACGGTCTTCGATAATCACTCATGAATGGGAAATCCGAGCAGCAAATTCTAAAAACTCTTGTGGGTTAACTCCTACCTTGCATCATTATGCAACAGAAAAGCCTACTCTAAATACCTTTCAAAACCGAAACAAGACTACTCTGAGAGAAATTAACGCATTTGCAAAGAGTCGCATTGATTTCAATGCGCACGAGCCACAGTGCTTCAACTAGCGAAAAGTTATCGGCAGTTGTCTAAAAACCAGGATCGTCTCGAATACTTGAAATTTCAATTCCCTCACAAAGTTTTGTTCCAAATCGAGCCATTTCTGGACCTTTACTCAAAATGTAATTTGACGGCTTGTGCCATTCGTAACGACGTTCGACGCTTAAAATTCCTTTTCATGATGCCTTTTAGAACCAAAACAAACAATTAAAACAGTTGCATTTTTAAAATTACGGAAGTCTCTCCTTCTCTTTTTCATGGTAGAGTAAGACTTGAAGTATCACCGCAAGAAAGCTGAGATATGAGCAAAACTCCGGATTTCAGTTAGGCTTCGAACCCGCGATTAGCCTTAGAGTGGCTCATATGCTATCCACCACACCAACCTTGCTGTTCCTCTCAAATAAAACAAACATTTCTTATCTTTGACCATATTATTTTTTACCTATCTGTATATCTACACCCCAAGCTAAGCTCCCCGCTATATAAAGCATTCCAGAATTACTCCACAGGTTTAGTAAATCCTGTACTAAGTTGCTAAAGCCCTTCCCTTTGTAGTCATAATTTTAATCGACGACTAACATTATAAGGGATAAGTAGACAGAAAAATGTTAGACACCACTGGCAAACCCTGAAGTTCCTCGACATTACTGAAGAAGCGGTAAACCTTTAGTATTGAAAGTCACAGATAACATCGTCAACCTGACACGATAGCTTACGACTCCAATATTCCTACATCAAAATACCATGTTCCATCACGGTTTGTGAAGAGAGGTGCTGCTAGGTATCCGAATTATTAACCATGTAAAATTAGACTAGTCATGCAAAAGAATACCCTTTACGTCGGCACTCGTACGATCGAAATACGGAAATACACGACGGCTGGCTACATTTTCTGCACGTAACTTGATATTTTACATATAAAAAAAAGATAATAAGGAATAAAGCCCTCGGCGTTGAAAACCCTGCGGGAAGCGCATAAAGCTCAATCCCTGAGGGAAACGCCATGCATTCGATTTCATTAAGAATCATTGCACGTGACTGAATGCATACCTGGCCTTTACAATGACTCGTGGTGGCCTACCGATGTATCGAGCCAGTGCTGCTATCCTCCCAGACAAGTCTGGTAACAAATTGCCGACCCCGGATGGATGGGAAGCTTGGTAAGCCTAGGGCGATCGACTTTGTTTATTGCAGAGCATCTCTATCCACTGCGCCACATGCGCCCCTTTAGATTTTACATATAATTCCCAAATATCACCAATGGTTTACCGCCCCATTGTGGTTTAGGTGTTCTTGCGTGTCCAACAGCGACTTTACAATTGGAATAGTGGTTCAACCCTCAGAAGGACGTCCAATGCTTAAGAGTTTGGCATTCTAGTGCGGAAGACCCAGTTAAGCGTAACCCAATACTAGAAATGAGTATTACTTCACCAATAAAATACCCAATAGGTGGACAGCAGTGACTATATGATAAAGTCCTAGGAGGGCTTTCGAGATCACAATATAAGATAATCTTGTCTAACAACCAAATTACCACTTAAATGGGAACTGTACCACAGATAGCCGATTTCCAGTGGTTTTGGGAAACAGATGACTCGAGTATTAAGCAACGAAATATACCAGTAACAAAATTTGGACACTTAAAAAATAAATAAGATTAAATAGTGGATCTATCCACCTTAGTAAGTGAAAGCAAAATAAAGACCTGCTTTGCGATAACTATCACCTCATTATGGGACTTCTGTTTCCTTCCTAAAACAGAAGCATGCTGTCGCTCACTCGCTGAATCCAGGTACTCCGGGTATCGTTTCGACTGAAATTGAATGAATATGTAGCACAAACGCTAACTTGAAAGACAAACTTGACCCGGTTATAAAGTGAATTAGGCTTCACAAGTACATGACAGAGCAAAGAATAAGAAACCAATGTATGCTATGATCATTGCGATTTGTTGGAAAGGTGATAAGGTAATGCCCCTCAATCAGCAATGATCACTGTGGTTTACATATTCTCAAATATCCTGAATATTACCTTAGATTTACCGGGATTGAGTACCCTGCCGCGAAATTATAGTAGGCAGAAAATAAAAAGGTATAACATTACCTTAGAATTATGCAACATGAGGCATAGTAGAGGTTGACTACTTAGGAAGGGAAGACGTAAATAAAAGGCAACATTAAACGGTTCAAGGACATTTGTGTCCTCATACAATCATAAAGTCAGCACATTCACCGCTATCGAGACACGGAGAACGGTTTTCCTTCATGAAGTGTATCCAGACTTTGTTTGATGTCGCTATACTCATACACGCAGTGAAAGTTTACTGTAACATACAAATCCCACCACAACTGCTCAAGTATATCCAAACACTCGGATACCACGTGTCACGAGGTCTCGAGCATACCTAGGATTCTCTTTGCTCTCAGATTCTTTTCTATTGAAGGTATATTGTCAAATGGGTAGAAAGAAGTGCATCAGCCTGCGTCTCATTCAAGATCGGCTGTGATGGCGCAAAACTTTGCGCTGAAAGCTGTGTCGCTTCACGCTATTGACTGCAACTCAAAATCCGTAGGAATGAACCTCAGGTGGCTTCTTTTAAACTGGAAACTTTGGGATCCACTATGGGACAATGGAGTCGAGCAGAATGGAGTATTGTCTCTCAGTTACAACAGTTATTAATCTCATATCACCACTGAATACAGTAAAAGAGCGCAACATTTTCTCAAAGTTCCCGAAACCATTAGTTTGACCACTTCTTTTTCGAACTGCCCCATTCGCTTGTACGATCGCCTGCCTGCAATAATCTTCCACATCTGTCTCCATTATCCTTAGAATGGAAATAGTAATCGGCTACAAGGCCGAAGGATGGAACCATAGTGGCGTCGCCGAAGATTTTTGAAAAGATGACCGACCTCCTTAAGCGTCCTGTCCTTAAATGATTCCCAGGGACTTTCGTTCTTCTCAAAAAATGAGTTTGCATGGGAAATGTGTGCTGCGAACATGAGCCCGGCAAGATAGCTCAAATAACTTCATTCCCCTACTCTAAACTTGTTAATCCTCCAGAATCTTAAAGTTCAGTGCACTTCGTCTTCCTTGTCAAAATCGGATAGGCACAGGAATTTCTGTCATCTTAACAGAGTTAAATTGGCAAGGCAGTGAACCCCACATTTACGATGATATATACCTATGGGTACCCTAGCACGACTAGCATGAGATTTCAATGAAAACCGAGCTTGAACATATCCAAGCACTTCAATAAGAAAAACACATGTCATCGAGTCGCAGTTGAATTAACACGGGAACCCTGAAGTCTCTATGGGTGACAGTAGCCATACAGCCAAACGAAAGGCAAAAGTGCCGATGTTGATGCAAAATGAGATGCAAGTCACCTGTATTCGCAAATATTCTTCCATTATTATTTCATATTCTTACCTTTAGCTTTTACCTAAACGGATTGGTTTCCTCTGCCCCATTCACGCTCAACGAAATCAATACCTCCGAATGCTCCAGTTACGTCTATCTAGGTCGGGAAATCAACGAGATGAATGGGTTAGCTGCAGAGTTGGGCAGAAAGAAACGAGCAGCTTGGGGAACTTTCCGGAGCATCGAGGATGTAGTGAAGAGAACACCCGACTCCGTGCCACCATTTCGACTCAACGGTACTTCCTGCCCTAACGTATGCGTTAGAGACCTGGTCGCTGCGTAAGCAAGATGAAAGGTCACTCAGCGTTATTGAACGCGCAGTCGAAAGGACTATGCCAGGAGTATCCCGTTTCACACAACTAAGGAAAGGGAACCGAAGCTCCGGTCTGCGTCAACGATCAAAAATCGAAGATGCCGTTCTGCATGCCAAACAGTCGAAGATAAGGTGGGCCGGACGCGTAATGCGTGTGATTGACAACCTATGGACAAGAGCCGTTAGTGACTGGATTCCTCGGGATGTTATACGCACTACAGGAAGACCAATGACCCGATGGTCAGAGTTCTTCACAAAGAGCCTTGAAAAAAGATATGATGCTCGACGAGTCCCTAGAGCGATCAGAACCCACTAGGCTACTCTTGCACGCGACAGGGAAAAATGGAAGATTTGCTGGTACCTCCTCGAGTCACTCGACGATCAACGGGACTACAGGTGGTACAGGTGATTCTTACCTTGAAAGTTCGGACAACAAATTTATAGTAGTCAATGAGAATCTAAACTGATGCAAGCGCCCACAGTGACGTACTAATCCATAATCAGTTACTACTATACGCTACGCAGCGTGGCCTTCTTTTCGTTGAACTCACCTGCACAGGTAATTTATGAAGGATGATTTCTTGTATCTACAATACTTTAAAAAATATTATAGAGGATCCATCTCCTGCCTAGTGGAACTTGCATAGAACTGATTACAGCACGTCTATTTTAGACATTTTGGAGCTGTTTCTCAAAGAAATACAAAAAACAAAAAAAAAGCAGACACTTCTGGAAAGATGGAGCGTCCATTGGCTTAGGCTTGTTTAGAAAGAAAACAGCAGTCTCCCATGAGACAGCAGAAGACGTTACGGAGAATGGTATCAAGGGTTTAACACTCTTAGTGGAAGTCCTTCTAACAGAACTAAGACGAAACAGACAAACTACCATTCTGAACTTTCAAAAGAAGGAACTACCGATCCTGAGGTGTAGACCAAGACCCTGAAATCCAGCAGCCCAGCAGGCAGCACGGAACCAAACCTGTCCGCATCTCTAACCACAGCGCGCAGATTTCCAAATGGAGCGCGGAAACTGCTGTTGGTGGTGATTGCTTATTGCAGAGATCGATAGAACTAGCTGAGAGAA